CAACAGTATACTGTGGTTTACTGACTCTGAAAATGATGTAATATGAAAATAATTTTTATATAATCAGAGAGGAGTGAAGCACACTTTTGCTTGGTTATATGGAGAATCAAAAGGTAATTTTCTGTGATCATACTCAAAAGCAGGAAGTTATGAGGTGGCAGAGAGCAGCCTGCTGGTGGGTAGATGACTGATACATTTTTTTGCTTGTTTCTGCTACTGGTGATTTTCTGCATATGCTGCACTGCTCCAAAGTGTTACCAGAAATAAACTTACACATGGGGATTAAAAGGTCCTGTGAAATCTCATTTCTTTAGGACAACTTCCCTTAGGTTCTGCTCTTCATGTGCCTGAACTGGATTCCTCTGATAAGCTATTAGGGGAGCCATACCTGTGTCAAGAAAGAATTTGAGTTAAGCCACTGGAGACCTTGTAGAATGGTTCTTGAAATACCATTAAAAAAAAAAAAAAAAAAAGGACATGTTATTGGGCCACAATTCCAGGACCACCTGAGCTGAAGTTGAATTCGAGTTTGCGATGAACATGAGATCATAAATTGGACATGTTAGCATGTGAATGGCCTCAAGTGTGTGTTAAAACATACAGGATACTGGAAGTGGCTGGGAGGGAACATAATCACCACTGAGTCTGCAGTTTTTTGTGAGGATTACTGAATGTTACCTCTTAGGCTTAGATTTGTTGATCTCTTTGGAGCAATCTCTTTTGATGTTCAAAGCATGTGTTGACACTAGTTGTGTGTGACATGAGGGACTTAACTGTGAGCTCCATAATAGAGTAATTTTTTTTTTTAAGATATTTTAAATGGTGATAATTAGGAGCTACTACCTAGAAACTACTACACATGGAAAGGTTACCAGCTCATTTCATAGAACCACAGAATGTGTGGGGTTGGAAGGGACTGTTAAAGATCATCTATTCCAGCACACACACACACTCCCCCCTGCACAGTGTGCAGGGACCTTTTTGACAGATCAGGTTGCTCAGAGCATGGTTGAGCCTGACCTTGAATGTTTCCAAGGAGGACCCCTCCACTACATTGCTGGGCAACCTGTTCCAGTGCTTCATCACCCTGATCGTGAAGAACTTCTTCCTAATCTAAATCTATCCTTCTCTAGTTTATGATCACTGCCACTTGTCCTATAACTACACACCCTTGTAAACAACCCCTCCCAAGCTTTCCCATAGCCCCTTCCGGCACTGGCAGGTGCTCTAAGGTCTCCCTGGTGCCTTCTCTTCTCCAGGCTGAACAACCCCGGCTCTCTCAGCTTGTCTTCATAGGAGAGGTACTCCAGCCCTCTGATAATTTTTGTGGCCCTTCTCTGGACTTGTTCCAACAGGTCTATGGCCCTCTTGTATTGAGGACCCAAGAGCTGGACACAGTACTCCAGATGGGGTCTTACGGGAGTGGAGTAGAGGGGCACCTCCCTCTACCTTCTGGCCACACTTCTTTTGGTGCAGCCCAGGATGCAACTGGCCATCTGGGCTGCAAGTGTGCATTGTTTGCTCATGTCCAACTTTTCATCCGCCAGTTGCCCTGCGTCTCTTTCTCTATCATATCATCCCCCAGCCTGTACTGATAGCAAGAATTGCTCCTGCCCAAGTGGATGGTTAAGAGCTCTCTTTTCACTTGCTGGATAGTGCTGCTGGCGCTGTCCCTGCTGGGGTTTGTGAAGACACTGGCTTCAGCAGAAAGTGTTCAGCTAAAGAACTTCCCCACAAAGGCAAACTGAAGACGTGTCTAGCTCCCTGTCCCCTGGGCTACCTGTGGACACTTGAGGATACTAAAATCACAGTACAAGGTATTTTATCTCTTATTTTTCCAGTAGTCTCTTGTTCAGGAAAGTCCCTAACTGGTGACTTCCAGGGCCACTATTCTTAGTAAAGCCCGTGCCTTCCATGAACATCCATTTATTTAAAAATGAATTTTTATTTTTTAAAAATAAATTTTATTTTTAAAAAGAAATTTTAAAAGAAATTTTTAAAAAATTAAAATTTATTTATCCATTTAGTTTTAAATACAACTTTTTGGCCTTTGTGTGGCAGCTCATGTTGTATGGAAGGTACTTCCTTTTTGTTTATGAACATGTTCTTAATTTTAGTGGTAAGCTGTGACTTTGCACTAGGAACATCACCATCTCCATATGGTTAAAGACTGTAGACTGTTTTTAGTAAAAAACAGTCTGTTGTGGCTCCCATGTTCTTTTTTCTAACTTATTCTGCAACAGTGATCGGTACATTAAAAGATGACCTCTTAAATCCTGAAAATGTGTTGTTGCTCTGCAGGAGGCACAGAATGTCAGACATTTGGTTGGAGTTCAGGTAGTGTCAGATCAGTAACATGTTAGTGAGTGTGCAAGAAGGATGAACTTGAGCAAATGTGAAGAATGGTCTTGAGGATGCTTTCAGTGTTCATTGGATGGGTGGGGACAAAAGAGTTGTGGTCCAGCCACCTGCCTGTGGATCTGTCCCTATATGTATGAGGTATCTTAAACACCTTGGAGAGTGACATAAGCAGATGGTTATGAACTAGTCACAAAAACAATTGCATCAGAGATTAAAGGTAAGTGAGCATTACAGCAGTAAGATTCTGGTAACCTGTATGAGCTGCTGCCTTCGTGATTAGAAATTATCAAGATACCCAGTTTAATTTCAGATAGTCATGTCATGTTGGTATTTTTGTTTTGGGGTGGTTTGATTGCCTTTTTGGTTTTTTTGGCCAGACTTTTTATTTCTCACTTCTTTTGCTAGCAGTAGAGCTATTCACCAGCTCCTTCATGAGACCCTTCTAAGTGTATGGAAACTGCTGTTGTGCTGCTTCTCCTAAACTAAAGCTAGACTTTTTTAGCCTTTGTTCAGGGTCACTTTCCTAAGTTCTGTGGATTTCTCTTGAGTACTTTTCCACTTTGCTTGCCATGGCGTTCAGCTTTGGTTGCAGCATCCTAGATGAGTCTTCAGTGCTGAGTTGTGAAGACTGAATTCCCTTTCTTTACTTAAGCAGTATCACAGAACCACAGGATGTCAGGGGTTTCAAGGGACTTCCAAAGATCGAGTTCAACTCCCCTTCCAGAGCAGGACAAAAACTGGAGCAGATCACTCAAAGACATCCAGCAGTACTTCTATGGACACTGCAAGCCAGCACTGCCATCAGAAATAGCTAATGTAAACATTGTGTACTTGTTCAATGAGTTGTCCTAGGGAAGCAAATCCCTCACTTTCTCTGTGTGTTTGGTACTAAGTTGATGCCTCGGCATGGTTGGCAGTGACTGTCCCCTGCTGTCCCACCTGCTGCAACTGCAGAGCCAGCATGACTTGCATCCCTCTTAAACCAACAATAAATTAGGTTTATATTCATCTGTGAGGTGTGAGCTGTGGTGTTGGAGGCTTGTGTTTTATAGCCTCACTGTATATAATAGCAGTGACTAGAGAGGTTGTAGGCTCAACAGCTTGAAGGTGGAAGGAGCGTATGTCTGGTAGCCCCTTCAGGTACATGAAGTCAAGAGTCTGGCACTATGTTTTGCTGCTCCGTTTGCTGTGCAGTGTGTTAGACAGTCCTCAAAAACCTGATGGGTATGGTGTGATCAGATCTGGTAGTAATTTCTCATTTTATTGTGGAGTGGGAACTTAATTATAAATTGTTTTTCATAGCCTCTTGACAATGCTGAAGTGATCCAGAGGTGTAGGGTGTGAGAGCTGGAGAAATCTGACCAAGTATTTTAAACGGCTCCTCAATCTTCATAGCACATGTTCAGTTTCAGCTGGCCAAGTAAACTTCTACACCCCATCGTAGGTGTCTACCTTGAAGACAGGGTAGGGGCACTTCTCTGAGTTTAAATACTGTAAGCCAATACCTGCCAGCACTGCAGCAGTGATGTAGAGTCATGTAACAGTGTGTGCCTAGCATATGCTGGCCTCAGTTGTTTTTTAGGCTGGAGAAATTTGGTAAGTACTGGTTCTTACAGTAATAGAAATGGATGCTCTAAAACTGGGGAAATACTTTGTTTGAAGACAATGTTAAAAAATTTCCAAGTATGACTTCAGTTTTTACTCTGTAATAATTACAGGCTGGGTTGTGGGAGAAATGGTGTAACTCAGTGTTGCAGAGAGAAAATCTGAGGTATCAGATGCATTATTTTAAGAGGCTTGTATCTAATTTGACCCCATTCAACAGCTAAGGAATTGAGAGTTACGGATTCCTCACTGGTGAGGGTAGGTCATCTATAAACCGGGAACTGTTAGCTTTTTATACCATGTGATGTTGATTTTTGGAGGGAGAGTGGATAATCTTAATCAGTGCATTTCTTCACACTATATGCACATGGTGAGGCAACTGTGCATTGATTCTTGCATCTGTAAAACAGGCTTTTCTGAATTCTATAGAGTAAAACCTGTGTGGAATGAAACTACACAGTTGTACTATGATTTTATATCTGCCATGTAAATAAGTACCATCTTGTGATGCTGTTCTGTATTGGCCTTCACCATTAGTCTTGTAGAAAAAACCTATTTTTTAAAAAGAAACTTAAGAAGTTCCTCAGTCTGTTCCTTTGGCTGGAGTAGGGTGGGAGAAGTGTAATAACTTTGCTTCTTGAATTGGAACATTCTTCACATTCAGAAAATATTAAACTAAGCCTGTGCAATAATACCTGTTTCCCAAACTTCTGGTTTTGGACTTGAGTTCCCATAGCTTATCCTTATTCCCCTGAGATGTTGTTTTTTTAATTCTTCAGAGGTATGATTTAGGAATTTGGGACAGGTAATGAAGCTGGCAGTTGAGAAATAACTTCTTACTACTGCATTTTAGTTAATTAAAGGTTCAGGTCTTAGGCAAATGTTAACTGTTACTTTAAGTAGCTGATTTTTTGGCATGTTTGCAAATGATTTTTAACTACTAGTGCATGTGACTGAAATCTAAACTAGTGTCTTTGCATTTCTTTTGTGTGACTTTCCTACTAACCTGACTGATGAACGAACGTACACTGAAGGAATTGGTAAATTGTCCACTGCTGATGGCAAAGCCTTCGCAGATCCTGAGGTTCTCCGGAGACTGACCTCCTCCGTCAGCTGCGCGCTGGATGAAGCTGCTGCGGCCCTGACGCGGATGCGAGCAGAGAACAATCACAATGCAGGACAAGTGGACAAGTATGTATTGACAGTTCCCCACCCACAGTTTCCCAACTAAAGAATGCAAGTTTGTCTTTTTCTTGTCAAACTTACTTAATTTTATAATTAGTACTCGGTATCTGCTCTACTGCTGCCAGAAGCAGTTATTGAATCTGAAGATGTAACTACTGTCCTGTCAGGTTACTGGCTTCAAAGTATAAGAGAAAAGTAAAAAAAGAGTTGCTTTCTAACCTGCTGCTCTTCCTGTGTACTTGAGATTTTATTTATTTTTCAAAAATTGGTCAAATTCTTATCTGTAGAAAACTTGATAACAGTTCTCTAATTACTGCCTCAGCATGCTTTGGAAACTAGTGATGAATTTACTTCATTGTGTTATAAGTTGGACTAGAATACTAATACTTGCAGGGCAGCAAATTGCCCTGGGATCTTGCTCAGGAACCTAAGGAAAAATAAAACTATTATTATCTGATAACTTTTTACAACTGATAATTAACAAGGATGGCCTCGTGCCTATTTAACTCCCATGATGACAGAACTGAGAATTTGTCCTATGTCCTCAAAAAGCTTTTTTCTACATTGGTAATTTCAAAGCATCTTTAGGGTTCCCAAAACAACATCTACTCTGATAAATGATGCAAATATTTCCTAAACTGTTGAGGTGGTATGACTGCATATGCTGTTGAACTTCAGATCTACGATCAAAAATTGAAAGTTTTAAGTTTCCTTCCATTTGGTATCCTTTTGAAATTCAAACTTTTTTGCAAAACGAAGTGTTCACAGTAAGGACAGTAGTCTTGAGTCATTATTCAAAATGTAAATGCAAATACAGAGCAAACATCGTTTCATTTCCTAATTGAAGGTGGAGAAATCACTTATGGGTCAAAACTTGGGGAGATGAGAATATGCTGGGGAAGCCTGCTTGAACATTTTAGTTCAAGAAATGGGGTCAAGCTGTGCCAAGGGATGTTCAGATTGGATATTAGGAAAAATTTCTTCACAGAAAGAGTGGTGAGGCCTTGGAACAGGCTGCCCAGGGAGGTGGTGGAGGCACCATCCCTGGAGGTGTTAAAAAAAATGGGTAGATGCGGTGTTCCATAAGACAGTTTAGTGGTTAAGGGTTGTAGGGCAAATGGTTGGACTTGATGATCTTGAAGGTCTCTTCCAACCTTGATGATAATTCTATGATTCTCAGCTTTTATCTAGCAGCTACTAGCACAGTTGATTTCATTTTGGGGTTCATGGCAAATGTGTTCCCTTTAAAGCGGGGACTTAACATAGTTGAACCATTACAATCTTAGAGCCATGGAGAATTGAAACGTGTGCTTTCCTCAAGGAGCTTTGTGTTTAAGTGAATATTTTCTTCATTTTGAGTGAATTTTACCGAGTGTACTTCTCCCTTTTGCAGAAAAAAAGTAGAAGTTTGAGGTTCTTAATGAATCTGAAGGTACTAGTTTCTAAGAAGCAAGCTTCCGTGTCTTTCAAATATGACATGCTGACAGGAATGCATCACATCCTGTTCTGTTTATAACAGAAGGCTCTTCCTTCCTCCTGCCCAGGGCATTAACTGGTTTGGTTTCCAGTGGCTGAGGGACCATGATTCCCTGCAAATATTTTCTTAATAAAATTTCTATCATTAGTTGGAGAAGTGCAGCTGAGTTGGAACTGAGCGTGACTTGCTCTTGTGTACACTTGTATTTAGTAATTCTTTAACAGTTGTCTTTACTGTTTGACTTTTTAGACAACGTGGTTTTAAATAATTTGAAGCTCAGCTCACCTCTGTCGAGATCAGTTAGTGTACTTCACTAGAGCTTCGGGGGAGATAGCTCTTCTCTCTACTTCAGATGTTAATGATAGCTGAAGTAGTGATTATAGACTTCTGAGCCATGAGATGACAAGAACCCAGGGTTTGTCTTGTCTTTTTCCTTCTGACTCTTATCTTGTAATTACCTCTTACATATTTTTTTAAGGATGACTTAGTAGTGTTCCGGGTAGGATTTGTGTGGTTATTGCCATTTAAAAAATGTGCAGTTCCATTGGCTTATTTCAGCTATCTCAAAACTTCTGTAATATGCTACTAATGGTACATGAAAGTAAATGTTTGTAAGGCTCCTCTCCTTTAATCCTTTAATATGTCCTTAGGTAAAGTAAGTATTTTTTTTTCTTTGAAATGGCTGATGAAATTAAGAAACTGCTGTTTTCAATTAAAAGAAAGAAAATCTTCAGGCTGGTGCAGAGAGGGAAATAGTCCCTGTACAAGAGAAACTACAGGGAGAATTTTGTCTTGTTGCATTATTCAGTATCAGTGGTCTCTATGATACTAGATTGTTCACCTTTTGGCTTTATGTCTCCTAGTAATTTGCATTGGTACCTCTAGTCAGTAGTTTGTGGTGGTCACAGCCTCAGTGCATCTGGCATTCACCAAAGTGTGAATAGCATCAGAGAGGTTTACTTCTGCGTCTTGCAGACACCCCAGATTGCCTGGTTTTGAACACTCTCCTCTGCATCTAGTCTGTGTAAGAGCTTATGAGAGTTCACAACTGAGGAGGACAAGGGCTAATTTAGACATGAGCAAGGCCTTTATCTCCATTCCCCCAAGGACATCATGTGTGTGTATATATACTTTTTCTTTAAAAAGTTAGTAAGGTATATTTTCTAGTAAGGATAATGTCAAGAGTTTTAAGGGGAGACTTCTTGCACGGGGAAGCTACCCATCTCTTACAGGTGTATTTTTAACTGACTCTGTAGTAACTGCTTTTCCAGTCGCAGCTTGGCGGAAGCGTGCTCGGATGGGGATGTCAATGCTGTCCGGAAGCTGCTCGATGAAGGAAGAAGCGTAAATGAACACACTGAAGAAGGGGAAAGTCTCCTTTGCTTGGCCTGTTCA